TACAATTTTTTAAATTAAACTGATAAAATGGTTTTATCTTTTTAACCCTACAGTATATTACGTTTTAATAATATGACGTTAAAAGTTAAAACTATGAGATTCAGACATACATATCTTTACAAGTAATTTATATTTATGAAGTTCCTTAATTTATAACATATTAATAATTATTTTTTGATATCTTGACGTGCGAAAAATCGAAGAATTGATGAAAAAGATTCTTCAAGTGCAAAATGTACATTACACGTATATCTATATACTATTCTCAATATAAAAAGTTCTATAAGGATATGAAGGATGGTGCAGTGAAAGAGTCAAAATCTGTTAGCACCAAATTTGGCGAATGCAGAAGATAAGTAGCATTTTCTTAATGTAGTTACAAAATTTGTTATTTTATCACTTGTCTAATGCTGTGTACGTCACAGACTTGTTTCATATTATGAGAATTTGTTGTAAACTGCACAGTATTCCCTCTGAAACTCATACATTATACAAATACTTCAAAATTTCAGATGGGAAATTCTGTTGCTTACACAACTTGTTATAACTTTGTACCATCACACATACTTATGAAATCAAATTTAGCTACTCATTGTCAGAAATAACGTGCACATGTCACACATTCTACTTTGTTTTTTTGCACAACTTTACTACAATAATTTAAATATTGTTAGATCCTAAATGTGCTTACGAACATATACTCTACTTTATATCTCAGAAATGAAACAACTCTTCGAACTTTCAATCTCGATAATCGATCAAATTCAATTTTTTTTCTCCCACAAACGTCAATAATCGTCGAAAGAGAAAGACGAAGGGGCTTGGAAAGGCTAAGATTTAAAGTTCAAAGGAAATGCTTTGGTAACGGATACACGTTACACGAGGGTGACAAGAGAAGTTCAAGGTCGGCAAGTCCTCGTACGTCCTTGAATCCAGGCTAGTCCCCGGTATCCCTATCGGGGACAATCAAACGGTGACGGACTTCCGGAAGCTGGCTGCAACGTGTGCGCAGCCGCTGCACCCCCTGGTAAGGCGCACCTGCGCATTTTCTAGGAGAATTTCACTCACAGGCGAGGTTTTGCCTGTCCCGGATTGTCGCGTTTGTTCCGACAGAGCAGGCTGCCGGAAGTGAAAATAGAGAATTACCAACCCCTTCGGTTGTTCACATATCGTGAGTATTTATTCATTCTTAAACGTTCCTATACCCTTCATATCGCCGATACTCCTTCATTTCACAATTGTTTAGATCAATCATCAGAATGATGGTCCTTGAATCTCGCCATTTGTTTGCAAGGTAGTACTCTTCGTTAATATTGTCGTCGTTTTGTTTTCGTCAACTCCCCCGTCTTTTATCTGATGCTCACGGATCTAGCGAGAATGACTCACCTGTTATCGTTCATTTTTCCATTAAAATCAGCACAGCTCGGTCTCGACGTCTGCTATCTCTTTCTTTTTCTTGTTTTGTTGTATTTACGAGGGCCCGGTGGTGTTAACCTGCGAGCGTCAGCGACCGGTGTTGACTAGGTGAATGACTCATAGGCTAATTTACGATTTAATATTTGTCGAGAAAAATTAGGAAGCGATTCCTTCCGGAGAAGGACGTTGCTTCGTACTGTTCGTTTTTTTCTTCTTCTACGGTTACGCTTGATAGTCTAAATTACCACTATTGGAGAGATAATGATATGTCCTGTTGCAATTATTTCCTACCAATTCTTTTCTACTTATTTTGCGCATTTTTCTGTTTACGTTTGTTTAATATTGTTCATACGAAAAAACAAAATGCGGTATAGTTTAGCATAGTAGAATGTATGTTTGATAGGTTTCGACACGTTCGTATAAAATTTGTCCTGTTGGTTAATGACGGAAAGACAGTGTGAAAGAAAGTGAGATTATTAGCATTGTTACGATAGGGTCTAAATTATTACGCTATTTGCACGATTGAAACATTCGCAAATTCGACAATTACATGGCTAGTGAGCATAATTGCTTTTAAGTAACAAAATTTATTCCGTTGTTAATGCTAATTGAGAAAATTAAATGTATAGTGATATTTTGAAGATGAAATCGTAATTAAGGGTAATACTATTATTTTATTTCTATTTTATCTTATGGAATTTAAATTGACACCAGAAAATATATTTCTGTGCCTACAAAATTTTCTATTGAGTATAAACAACTTACATACTGCGTCGTATTATACACACTGCGCAAAGTTCGAAAAAGTTTTCACCTGCTTTTTAAATTAAAAACTAAACGAAGGTGTAGAAAGTGAAAAATATTCCAAATTACTTTTTCCCATTATTTTCAACAATTCATAAACCACTTTTGTATACTTTTTGGTCCTAGAGAAGTATCGTGTCCGAACGAAATCGTTTTATTATTAAATAAACTTTTGCATATAACTAAAAGAGGTAATTATTTCGAATATTAATAAACTTTATTTAAACTATGCGCTCCTATTCGTATATTTATGTTTGTTTTTCACAATGGTCCACTACAAAACCCTTACAGACGCTTGAGGTTCTTTTGGAACCGTTTCTTCGCCACTATTAGCGATTTGTCACAATTAATAGCAAAGTTCTACGTACTTTTAGTGACTTATTATTGAAAAAGAAAATTCGAAAATTTGTATGAAATTCTTGACAACAAAGTTATTCCAAATTTTCTGGGATATTTCGACCGTTTTATTCTTCCTTTAAATAATTTTTATTTCATCAAGGAATCTCCGCGTTCTCTGATTTGAACGTAGTTAAAGCACGGAATCTTTCCGTAACCTTAATTCGTAGAACGTATTTATCTTCGGCACATGTCAAATTTTATTTTGCATTGCCACGTAAATGAAACTATTTCTCGCGTTCCTAATATCTTTATGTCTTCACTTTTCCGCGGTGTTCCTCTTTAAGGAAACTGTTCCAGTCGTCTGTCGTTTCTGATCCAGGATTAAATTGTACAGTGTAATCTCCTTTTAAAAGGTCCTGTAATTCGTTCACTTTGTCTTTACACGATGAAATCTTCAATCTTTTCATTAGTATAAAATGAAAATTGCAAATGGTGTTCAAATTTACCGAAATTTTTGAACAAAGGTTACATAGTAAATTAACTCGTGCAATGTTTGAATTGCGATCAATCGTGAAGTTGTGATAACTAATTTAAAAGAATTTTCATAAATAATCGACGAAGTTGTTATTAAGAAATATATTTTTGAGGGGTTGCAAAGGGAGTCTTTCACGTCAGAATTGTTCGAAATCTTATTCATTTGTAAAGCTACTTTGCAAGGAACATCAAGCAACATTTTCTCATTTTCTATCTGTACGTTAAGCTTTCAGTATTGCAATAATAAAGTGTAATTATATCAAGCAAAATTGATTAGTGTTCTTAGCAAGTCGAATTTGATGGACGTGAAATTATGGCATAAGTGTTATTGTAACGAAAGTCTCTGCAAGTAGTATAATATTCATTTGTTTAATATTACAATTGGAAGAAAACCCGCGTGTAAATAAAAATAGTTTTAATAAATGCAAACAATTTTAAACTTCCAAGCATTGTTTGATAATAAAAAGAATCTGGAATTTTGAGGAATATTACTCTTGCGTCTGCGCTTCCTGAAAAACTTCCTGAAAGCACAATGTACATACAGAAGAGAGATCAAATACATTGGAATCTTTTTAATTAAAAGTATTCCTCTGATATCGCTTTCCTTTTAAGTAAATTGAAATGTGTACATGCAGATGCAAAAGAACATAAATGTCACACGTAAAAATAACTCAAAAAGAAAAATTTGATTTAACCATCTCGTAATGGATTTTTTATATAATCGCAAATGAAATGACCAACTTAAAGAGACGACTGCAACATACACATATCCCTCGAGTTACACGATAGATACGTTCGACAGAAAATTGTGCAAATCGAAACCGTGTAAAACGAGGCAGAGCTTGCATATAGAAAAGAAAATTGGAACTAAGTTTTAAGCCGTGTAAATCGAATCGAAGAATATAAAGAAAATTCGGAGATACGTTCATAATAACCGTGTAAAATCAGACAAGGATTGTATGGAAAAATGGAGTTTGGTTAGGTTAGAATGCTCTAGTGCATTCAAAACGTATTCAAAGACGTAAAATTTTTATGTAAAAATAAAAACAGTGTTCGATCTTCGTCAGAACATTCAAAAGCTGGGACTCGGTTTTTCTTTGCTTGTGGAACAATATCACTGTCCGAGTCACTAACATTAATTTCTCACGGTTAAATCCGTCTTTGAGTTACAACAAAATATATAAAAAAATGCATAATCGAAATAAAACACAAATTTTCTTTTTTTTCTGAAATTTGAAAACCGTGTAGTTCGAGGGACGGGTGTACGTAATCACAGTCTGTTGCTGCAGAATGTATCTATGTCGCGACAAGCATTTCACATCGAGCATCTCTCATACAATATCCATCAGCATTCCTAAAACCGCGACATTTCCACTTTACAACTGAGACTTACGGTTAATTCCTCCGACAGGTTTATTAATTATGTACAAAACAGTACGAAAGGGCGATGCCAGCCTACAGTACACAATTCTACCGCAAACAGACCAACAATTCTCCTCGTCTGGGTTCCCTCAGGCATCGGATAAGCCGAGACCAAAAATCATCAAGTACACTATGGGTACGTTGATGGTCCTAATCATCATGTCCTGTGTCGCGACACCGTTTCTCATGAATCAGAACGATCAGAGCCTATTCGCTAGCACGGTGCTCGCAATGCGCCGCGTTGGCCATAATACAGTGGCTAGAAACTCGTCGAGGAGTCAGGAAAGAGACACCGACGTGAACAAAAGCAAAAGCAGGCTCCTGATCACGACCACGATGTCGACGACGGAAGTCTACAGGAAGCAAGATATCGAGGACGAGATGACTACGGTGACGGAGCTACAGAAAGGGGACGAACAGGAGACGGAGGACCTTACCACCATGGGTACGAGTCTCTTTTCTGTTGTTTTCTCTTTGACTCAGCTTTCTTAACACTTAGCCGACCGAATGGGCAGATCTCCCCGCTGTGAAGTAAGTCGCTGCATGATCTTCACCGGGAAGATCTCCCACTTCTCCCTTAGCAACGCGTTGTCTTTTATCGTTGCCTTGAACTGGAGGTGTTCGCAATTCGTGAAATACCTTTTCTGCTTTTGTAAAACACAAACAGCGTACGGTCGGGCGTGGCGCGCGCGGTTGGCTAACTAAGTGTTAAGATTTTAGATTTTCTTTTGGTAATTACAGTGGGAATACTAGAATTGAGCATGTGCAAGGTAGAATAGAGAGTTTTATACTCAGCTTTCTTGAGATTTAAGACTTTCTTTTGGTAATTACAGTGGGAATACTGGAATAACATGTGCAAGGTAGAATAGAGTTTTATTTTTGTTACGCAAAGTGAACTGGTGCTTCAACTGAGTCGTGAATAATTATCCAATATAGTTTCGATGTTTCCAGTAAATGGGTTGTAAATTATTCTTGTATTTTATTTTACTTAATTTGATTGACGGAAATAAATTTCCATTACAAATACAATATATTAATACTATATGTGACGAGTATCCTTACGATGTCGGTAACACAATTACACACAAAGAAAATAGTTAAAGTACAAGAAACAAGAATATGTTTACAAAATAGAAGATCTAACATACTGCCATGGAAATTAATAATAGAATTATGTTATAGTAAATTGTGGTAGTTGTAATACTGGTCTGAAAATATTAGCGGACATTAAGTAAGTAGAGTAGTTCAGAAGTAAAGTTGGAGACGAAAACTAAAAATGGCAAAAAACCAATTCATGTGAGGTAATTTGAAGTCGCCGATAGTCAGGATTTCTAATCTGATTACCCGACGCAACTAAAATTTAATTTGTTTGTTTAACGGAAATCAATTTCCATTACATATATAGTTGGGGCCACGATATAGCGAGGTCGTAAATTAAACTCTCAAGAATCGGCATCGATTGATGTTGCGGCACTCAAGGCCGTGTGTTGCAGTCTGTTTGAGGGTTCCAACAATAAACGAATGGTAGCATATGATTTGGTACTTCAAGTAGAAAATGGTATTTCATTTACAAATGGAAAATATGTTAATATTAAAGCTACACAATCCTTTTGCATTTTCTATCTGTATATAACACGAGCAGGTAAATGAAGATGTTAAAGACCTCAATAAGACCTTCACTTGTAACCGTACTTCCAAAAGCGGCTTTTCCCAGAAGAAAAAAACCCTAAATTATCCTAGCTGAACTCAATTTTCAGTATATACAATAGAATCAGTTTGACTTTCGCTGGATACAAGAATTCTTTGTACGGTCCTGACCATGGTTTCAAGTACTTATCTGCTCGTATTTCTGTCAATTTCGGGGTCCCGGCAGCTAAAACATGTTTACTTTGACGCCTAACCGATTTTACAACCTCGCTATATCGTGGCCCCGACTATAAATGTTGTTCAAATTATATCGTGTTTGATATCATTTTCATCAGAAAAATCTCACCAACATGTTAAAAAAAGTTTCAGATGAAAAAAAGTAAAATTAAAGAAATTATATTTTTCTATTATGAGCACTTGGCGGGGGAGTCGCTGCGGACTCCAGAAAAATTCGGGAATCGAGCGAGAGATTCAGAAAAGGTTCCATCGAGCGAACACGTCTAGATCTCCAGCCGTTCGAGGAGACACAGCACATTCGAAAGATTCTCTCGTGTGAACAAGATACTCTCTCCAGCCGTTCAAGTACAATTCGAGTCTTTGAAACAAAGTCGTCAATCGTTCGTGACGCACTCTACGTTTTGCTAACGTTCGAGCAAAGTAGATTTTGAACTAGTTACCCAAGATTAATTTAGCGGGTAACAGTCGTGACCGCGAGCTTCCTTTTGAACATCGCAAAAGAACACGTGCGCGGCAAATATATTAATATTGTATGTGATGGAATCCTTACGATATCGGTAACGCGAAAAGAAGACGGGTGAAGTACAAGATATGAGTGTGTAAAACAAGAAATGAAGAGAAAGACAAAGAAGTACAGAAAGTTGTGTTGTTTTGCAGGAGAGTAGGTAAAGGACGTAACAAAGTAATAATTTAGATTAAATTTTAATTGGCAATTATCCTTAATAGCCAAGATAGCAGGAGCGTTTAATATTAAAGTATTATGATTAAAAAATATGTTTAGGAATTTGAAAGGACGCACGTTACTGTCTCGACAGCATGAAGAATATACGAGGATTATAAAGCATATTTTTCTCAAAATTTCGTACCTTTAAGATCATAAGAATATTCCCTTTATAAGAAATAGGGAGATGTTTGTACATAAAAAGTGGATGAAAATGGAAGCTGGTAATCCCTTTGAAGTTTACATCCTTGTTTGTCGTATTTCATTTCAACGAGGATTTGCATTTTCTTTCGTAATATCTTGAAAGGGAATTCTTACACACGTACGTATTAAGAGAAGAACAAATAGTATTTGAAGAGAACTTTATCCATGCACACAAAGCCTTCTTTGAACGCCATGACGTATCTCTGCACATAGAGAAGTTCCCTTCTTCTTCTCCTTTTAGTGGGATAAAAAGTTTCAAGTTAAGTTTTCTTGAACAAATAAATATTTTTATACCAGGATTATCACTTTCTCAGAGAGGCAATAGTTTAATGATGCTTAAAATATTTTATATAAAATTGTTTTATGTCAAACTTTTAAAAGTAGATGCGAGAGTATATTGCTTTTGATCTTGAGAAATCTTGAAACGACACTTGCACTATTTACCTAGAAAAATATTCGAAAAACAGACACAGGGTGGCTCGTAAGTTACGAACTGGCTTAAAATTGTTATAACTTTTTTATTTATTAAATATTCTAATTTTCGTTCGACACGTAACAAAGTATGAAGTATGGGGATTATGTGACGTTGATTACGGAAAATCACATCACGCGCGTGCCTTCCATTTTCGCTCTCACATAAGCGGGCTCTTTCTATAGCATGTTCCATGACCGCTGTTAACGTTTCTGGCTGCAACGCCCTAATTTCTACTTGAATATTGATCTTAAGCTCTTGCAGTGTTCGGAGTTTGCTAACGCATAGCCTTTCCTTGGGATAACCCCATAGGAAGAATTCGGGAGCCATCAAACGCGAACGTAATTGCCAGTTCACTTCACATCCTCTTGACATAATTCTTTCGCCCAAAATTTGCCGAAGAAGTGCCATTGTGGCTCTAGCAGCATCAGCAGTAGGTTCATCTTGCGTCTTGTCTTCTACCATAGAACGTAAGAAATCTTTAATCATGGCTTGATATTGCCGTGCAGTTATCGTCGCCGCATTTCCGTTGGTGTCTTCAAAGAAGTAAAGCCCGATTATTGCCTCAGACGTTGCACTGCACCAAACCGTGCGTTTGTTGAGGCGTAATTGACCCCGATAGACAGCTCTTAGGTTTTCCAAACCCCAAAGTCTGCAATTCTGTTTATCGATGGAGGCACTGGGATGAAAATTAGCTTCTCGGACGTAATCGGGCGACGAATACACTCGGTCTCTTCTTTGGTCAACTGTTGAAGGCCGATTGCGAAGCTTGTTCGTTGCTCGTAGTCAAGTGGTTTTAATTCGTGCGCAAGATGCAAAATGGTGCAAAATACGCTGCAGTGACCGAGGTGGCTAGACCTTCTTCAAATCGTTTCTGGTTCTTCCTTAATAATTTGTTGTACACGTTCGATATTCATCTGTACCATCGCTGAACGTGGTCTCCCTGATCGTGGCAGGTCAACCACAGAGTCTTGTTGCTCAAATCTTTGAGTCAAGCGAAGAATCATTGATATTGGGGGACCATTTCTGATACGCTCCTGGCGTTAGGACTTCGAGACGCTGATTCTCAAAGTAGAATCGCATGATTTTGATTTGTTGTTCAGTGCTGTCCTCCTGGAGGCCCAGCCCAGTGATGGCCTCGATATTTTGTGACTAGGCCCACTTCACGCGAGAAAGTCCCGACTTTACGGAGACTCCAGAGGATTCCCAAACATTCCTTCGCCGAACACCTCTTCGGTCGTTGTGCATCCCTTCCCTAAAATAGCTCGTTTAGGGCGTAACGAGAAGGGGGTGTCAATGCATCGGAGAAAAACTGATTGGTGGAGAATCGTTTTGGAAATCACCAATCAGGGTGATTCGGCGAGGAACGCAGCTTTCGTGGAGACGGACCACGAAAGCTTGAGACAGTTCAAATAGAAGTCTCATCGATAGACCAGTGTCGAATTCCCATAATTGAGAACAGTGTAACCAGTCCGGCGTAACAGTCAATAATAAAACGAGAAACCCATGGTGAATCGACGTTAATTTTGTTGAAACCCTTTCCCACATCGAGAAGCTATCGGGAGAAGTTTGCATCTAAACATACATTTTTACAAAAAAATAAATAAATTTTATCATATTGTAAGTAAAAATTGTTCAGTTAAAAAAATACTAAATTTTATATGTAATATATCTTGTTATTATGTAGATTGTATATATTTTATTGTCTTAACGGCTAATAGGCGTAATTGTCTTAATGGCCCGCCAAATATTTTCGAATTTACAATTTGGCCCACCTAGGCAAAACTTTGGGAACCCCTGTGTTAAATGGTGCAGAGGGGCTAACACTTTAAAGCGTAGGATATTGTAGGGGTGAGTTTCTTAAAGGTGAAAAGGGTGCAACCCCTATTTCTTTTTTAAATAGGATGGTATTTTAGTTTTTCTATATTTGGAAAGATGTTATCTCTTCCTTTTTATTACGCATAGTTGAGGAATTATTGCGGCAAATGCTTTACGCATGGGGAGCTTCGTGTAGGTGTCGAAAGGTATCAAAAGAAATGTATTCTGCTTTGAAAATTATTTTATTAGACGTTGACAAAGTTGTCCATTCCCTTCCAAACGCGTAATTTATTCTTGTGATAATATCTTTGCGAACATTTTATAACATTGCTGGAGTTATGGATTCACATGCGGCGCGAATTCTTCTTTTCATATCCTCTTTCGTAGGAGGTGCCGTTTCCACCACATTTTCCTCTATGCAGCCCCATAAAAAAAAATCAAAGTTCGTATTAACATTTAAAGTATCCAACAACGCAATATAAGCCACTTGATAAAATATCTTTTAAAGCAGAACACATTTCTTTTGATATCTTTCGACATTTACGCGAAGCTCCCCTTGCGCAAGGTATTTTCCGCTATAACACCTTAACTATGCAGAATAGAAAAAGATGCTTCAGATAAAAGTTGTTAGGTTTGATAACGTGCTTCCGAATATAGAAATATTAAAATATCGTCCTATTTAAAAAATAACAGGGGTTGCACCCTTTCCACCCTTAAGAAACTCACCCCTGCAATATTCCACGCTCTAAAATGTTAGCCCCTCTGCACCATTTAACACCTGAAAATTTCAAGTTGATATTCGGCTTCGGGGGAAAAATTTTGCAACACTTTATCTGCTCCACCTGGTACAATATACTATTGCAAAATAGTATAATTTTTTAGTAATATTAGGTAGAAAGAGGAAAACAAGAATGGCTAAATTCCAGAGACACAGTTTAATCCGTAAGAGTATTTTTGAATACTTGAAAAATTGAGTGATGCATGTACTATATGTGAGTGCAAAATATTAATAGCACAATATAACATCAGAATGAAAAGAATAATATATAAAAAATGATTATGAGTTAGTCTTTCATAACGTTATAAATCATGTGATTTGTTTAAATTGAAAAACAATTGTACTGCAATTTCATATTACATTTTAAATTATTGTTAGGGACTTACATACGTCACGTATTCGTGTTAAAGTAAAAAGGATATTCAGTTTGAAGTATTTTTACGAATAATTGTTATTACTACGAGTTCGTTAGTTTTCGCTATTATTAAATCAAATAATATTCATTTTATGTACCTATATCGAGAAATGGCAGGAGCCCTTTTCCAGCATGTAAATTGGGCAAAAATTTAATAGATCGTGTAGCTCAATTAGTAAAGTAATGGTTCAGTAAATAAAAAACTTCACTCAACAAGTTTTTCTTTTTTCTTCATGAGTTTCAAACGCCAGACACGTTTTTATATCGCTTCGCTGTTGCGTTGTTTAAAGTTTCGTAATATTTTACTCTAACGAGGGACGTCACCTAATTGATACGCCGAGTTACAAGCGCTAGTTTTATCATTTGATTCTCAAGAGATTCCTTAAGCTCTGATTTCTTAAAGTTTGAAGGAACCTTCCTAACGATTCCTTTTTCCGAACTTATGCCAACAGATTTCGCAACGACTGGCATGCAACACTTACAAACTGCCACGGAAACATCGACGAACGTCCGACAGACGTCCACGTCGACTTTATATCCATCAACTTCACCGACGTCGGCGACGAACCTGAAAACGTTGACCAGCACTTCGAGCGAAGTGACCAAGTTAACTTCAAGCGCGCCGACGAGGAAGGCAAAGATGCCGAGAGTAACCTTGAAACTCCGTGAGAACGAAACAATACCACAAATGTACATGAAGGCGGGGATAGCGTCGTACAAGAAAGGCAACATCACCACAAGCGTGTTGGCGCACGGTTTAAGCCTGGAGGGGTTAATCTTCAAGACTCCGGAGGGAACGATAAAACCGTGGCCGCAGAAGTGGTTCTTCCCTGATCCCTCGTCCGAATTCCAATGGAGGGCATCGACGCCTGAACAAGTAAGTTAACAACTAACGGCGTTCAGAGAAAAAAAAAAGATGTCACGAGGCAAAACTAAATTGTGTTATTGGGTTGAGCAGAAAGTTCGTGCCGATTTTTGATAGATAGCGTTTGAATACGTTTGAACAAACAAAACTCGACGAAAATGAACGAAGTTCGCATGTACTATGAAAGATAATTTTTTCACTTGCCTTTTGGAAGTCTATTCAATACAATTACTAGTTTCTTTTCGGAGTTATATTTTAAAGATGGCAGAAAATAGAGATTTCCGACACTTAATGTTTTCCTTTTACCAAATAATGTTTACGGAGAAGGTAGCCTATCAGAAAAAATTGATTACAAATGATTTGCAAAATTTAGAGATAAAAGTTTCGATCTTAAAAAAATGAGAAAAGGACGTTTTGATAAAATAGAACTTTAAATTACCGGGAAAGCTAAATTCATTTTTTTTTATATTGTTTAAAATTACACAAATATGTAATGATTAAAATAACAAACATATTGATAATATAAACAAGAGACATCTGAAAGACGGGTCAGCGATGACCCAATATCCGCCGTTCAAAGGATAATAGTTTCGTAGTCGGTGAGAAGACAGAGGAAACACGATCACTTTTATTTCTTTAAGCGAACCAATTACTTTTTCCATGGTATTATTCGGTAGAACTGGTGTCCTAAAACTAACAGTTTCTTAGATATTCATGTTTTAAAACAGAGTTGGCTAAAATATTATTTCAAGTAGTAAATACTAAATAGTCTATTTTGTTTTAAATCATGCGTATAACTATAAAAGTAAAACAGTTTATTTGTTGCGATGAATTTTTCAAATATTCCCGACTAGAATTTCAGTTAGGCATGCCTAAAGACGAATGTGAGTCCAATACGGAAACAATTAGGCACACCTAAATATTGCAAGCCTAATCGTTACCGCATTAGGTCCTAATTCGGAAGGAATGATGCATGCTTAAGTTGGGCATTCCTAACAGTTGCCATACGTGGCCCAAATGGAGGTAGCCGAGCGGACGCTAAGTTAGGCATTCCTAACAGTTGCCATACGTGGCCCAAATGAGGGTGGCCGAGCGCACGCTAAGTTGGGCATTCCTAATAGTTGCCATACGTGGCCCAAATGGGGGTGGCCAAGCGCACGCTAAGTTGGGCATTCCTAACAGTTGCCATACGTGGCCCAAATGGAGGTGACCGAGCGCACGCTAAGTTGGGCATTCCTAGCAGTTGCCATACGTTGCCCAATTAGGGGTGGCCGAGCGCACGCCTAAGTTAGGCATTCCTAACAGTTGCCATACGTGGCCAAAATGGGGATGGCCGAGCACACGCCTAAGTTAGGCATTCCTAACAGTTGCCATACGTTGCCCAAATGGGGGTGGCCGAGCGCACGCTAAGTTGGGCTTTCCTAACAGTTGCCATACGTGGCTGAAATGGGGGTGGCCGAGCGCACGCTAAGTTGGGCATACCTAACAGTTGCTATACGTGGCCCAAATGGGGATGGCCGAGCGCACGCTTAGGTTGGGCATTCCTAACAGTTGCCATACGTGGCCCAAATGGGGGTGGCCGAGCGCACACCTAAATTAGGTGGAGTGGGGCTCTCAAACTTATATGTAGGAATATTTACAGTGTCGGACGCTTGCGTGAGAGCCTTGCGTGAGAGCTTTCAACAAGATAAAAGTTTTCTCGTGAGATTTCATTAATGTCTTCCAATGACAGCCTAATAAAACTATTCTAATATGGGCCTAATGCGGCTGGCCTCATTGGGAAAGCCTAATGCGGCCCTAACGCGGCTTTCCCAATTAGGCGGTCGTGAATATTCCGCGTTACATACCGCCTGCGGGCCTAACAGGCAAATTAGGCTAGCCTAATGCGGACCTAATATCTGCCTAACTGAAATTCTAGTCGGGTTATTTAGAACTAGTATTTTATTTGAAGAACGTTGAAATCAGTGGGGCTTTATTTTTGAAATATTTTATATTTTTTCAGTTTATTCGAGTAGCCTAAGCGATGCAAATTTTGAGCAACGTAGGTACTTTGTTACGTGCGAATGTAGTCGCACTTGAACTAAAAATAAATTTACTTTGCCATATATTATGATTTCTTGTGTTGTAATGTTATTTCTTTTCTCAACTTATTTTCATTGTAAAAAAATGTTCAAAGTACATATTAGAAATACAAGGTTAAGATATTTCATTTTATGCTTAAAGTTATTAGCTTAAAATTATTTTATTCGCCGTAGTTTTGCTTTGTATTTAAAATAGCATTTTCTCTGAACCGTATAGCATCTATTATTTAAAATAGTATTTCAAATATTTTTTCTCCTAACTCTGTTTCAAAGTAACTTCACGAGTCTTTCTTTATTTTGCAATGGAAGGCTCATAATTAGTGGATTTGCGAGATTTTTGCTTCAACGTTTCAAAATCCATTAACTTGTTTTATAGTACTTATAAAAAATATGATGTTCAATATGATGAGGAAATAATCATCACTGATCGAACTAATCGTAGTTTTGTACTTCGTTCCTCAGTGTTTAGAATACATAGTAGGAATATTAACATTTAATATTCAACAATTAATATTCTTTCAGTAGATATATTTTACACATTAATAAGGATGCATAGAAGCTTTGTAATCAAATGCATCTGTTACTGCGTTTCTTGATGATCATTTTCTTTGTATACTAGACTCATTTAAATATTCTCTTAAATATTTTACTTAAATATTTTCTCAAATATTAGCAAAATGAGATATAGTTAAGTGTAAGCGCACTCGATGAATATTTAAATGGAATTTTCTCAAAAATTTTATTCTATATTTCCAGTCTATTCTTTTCACGTAGAATCACCCACCTCACGGTTGTACCACCAGTTATGAAACAGCAATCACAAGCAATACGTATTTGTGGTCTCTTATCTCGTGAATTATAGAAGCGAATATATTTTCTGTCTGCACCAAATAGTTCTGCTGCCTTAGAATGCACAGACAGCGAATGGGTAGGAAAGAATTACATCTATGATAAAAAGGACGTACATTCAGTGGCCTATTATTGCCCTTCATACGAGTTTCTGTAGAAATGTTCGACACTAATGTTGCATACTTTGCAAAATTATTTTCAATTTAAACTTCCTTTTTTATTTTAATATGTTACAATTTAATACACTTTACCGAGCACTCCGTTATAAACTCGATAAAATGAAACAAATGTTATTCTGCGCTTTGTAAAATTCGTTACGATATCATTTTTAGAGTAGAAATGTAACATATTGAACTCCTTTTGGTTTTTTCCTTCTATTTTATTCACGAGTGTTGCTCACGAAGGAATCAGTTTACGACTTTGAGTGCAAATGGAGAACTTAGGAAGGATCCTTGCGGGTCGCAGAGGTTAATTTATATTCTGCATAAATATTGATCGCGTTGCAGCAAAGATATCTAAACTGAAACATTGATGGCGCTTGATAGGGGTAAAATATGTTGGCGAATCTATAAAAGCAGACGAGAATTTTGTTTACTTAAGTGAATTTGCTAAAAGTGCAATGCAAAACGTGAGCATAAATTGTTTCGATTTGTACTTTTATTTGAAAAGAGTAAACTAAGAAATCGTTAAATTTATGACAAAATATGTACAAAAGAAACATTAAATAATATGTTTGTAATTTTAGAGGAAAAATATTAGAATGAAGCTTGTGGTAGATATAAAATTGAAACATCCGTGTTTCTGTACAAAGTATAAAATTTTATATTTTCTTCGTTTTTACATCATTCGGAGCTAATGGTATTAAATTTCAATATTCCGGCGTAGAAAGATTTTTACGCTGATACATTCGCAAGCATAGAAAGCGGCGAAAAATCGCTCCGGACGGAAAGCGGCATTTAATTTCATAGATTAAATTAAAGTACACTCTACCGTAAATGTGTCTCCTTAAAGGGAATGTGGACGTTATTTAAATGCAAGATTGCCTTGCACGTCGAGCTTTAGGTGCTCCTTGGAATCAGAATTTTAAACTCGTTGTTTTTAGAGATTTTCGGAAAGGGTGCTGTCTTGAACGCTTCGAACCATTTGTTATATTCCAATGGAAAGTATTTTTCACGTCGATTTCGGCGAATAGATTGTGCGAAGATCATTTTAAAGCAAATGATATTTCAAGGAAAATCTGACAAAATAAAGCATTTCCGCTCAAATTAGGATGTTGAAATTAATGCATTGTGCGAAGATCATTTTAAAGCAAATGATATTTCAAGGAAAATCTGACAAAATAAAGCATTTCTGTTCAAATTAGGATGTTGAATTTAATGCAAAAATTTGAAATTTTTGTTACTGATACAGATTTCAAATTTGTTTTTATGGAAAATCTGACAAAAAAAATGCATTTTTGTTAAAATTAGATTGCTGAATTCAATGCGAAAATGTAAAACTTTTGCTATTGATGCAGATTTCAAATTTGCACGGAAATGTAAATTATTATACATATGAAAACACTTAATTTGAATTGTTTATGTATTATTGAGTATTGGCGAAAAATGTGTTATTGTTTACTTTGTATTTCGTACCGCAAATGTTTTAGCTTCTGAGATATTGTCAGTGATGTTTGTTATTTAATTTCAAAATTATTATTAATCATTTAGTTGGGTATATCAATTAATATATGTATGTTTTCGTAAAAAAATATTTTACGCATCTTGTTTACGTACTGACTCTCAAGTTCAAGGGGTTAAAAAAGTTGGATTTGAAAACCTTGTTTTTTCAATATCAGAGAAACTATTGCGTTTAGAAAAATGGTTCAAATACACGAAATGTGCATTTCCTAATAAAAATTTCGCCTACGTAAATAGTCTTCTCAAAACAACCGTTTGTTTAAATAATATATTAAGAGTTAATATTTTTTCGTTAATTTTTGTTGCGAAATGTTAATTTATTCTCAGAGAATGTTACAAGTATACATATATGCATTTAAGTCCATTCACGTTTGTTTAATTCGTTGAAAATAATTTTGTACGAGAAATACAGAGAACATTGTGACGATACTTCTAGCATAATGAAGAAAATTTACACAAATCTATTTTCATCATTTAGATTACGTTACGATAAATGTTAGGGCTTGCGGTTGATCTTTCGATCGTTCAAGCGTTCCCGGTTTTTGGGCTACGAAGGACCAGTTTCTTGGTTGAAACACTAAGTGTTATTTTGTGTTCTATGTTCTAAACTAATTCGAGGTCTAGAGTCTACTCTGCGAGGTGCGAAGTCTTTCTTCCGGAGTCTCTGCGGTTTCCCTCGACGAAGACTCCTATTTTCCCAAAAACACCCTGATTGGTGATTTTTCCTTTTCTAAAATCACCAATCAGTTTACTCCGGTGCGTCGCAACCTCCCTCCATTTCGCCCTTAGCGCGTCATCTTAGGGTGGGATAAACAACGACCGGAGAATCCTGTGGAATCTCCGCTTTCCTAGGCTTCGTTAAAGTCAAGTGGCCCGTCGACGTTGGCAAAAGTCGTGGGCCACTTTTCTATTTTCCGTTCGGAGACTCCAGGATTCATGGCAGGATCTGGTCCTAGGGACTAAGTGTCGCAGGCAACGCAATAAACACTTGTGGTGTTTTGAGGAAACGATATTTGCCTGCGACGGCGACCACTTGACTTGCTGCCATAAATACGGCTACAGGATACACCTTAACACTCACTGTACCCTCTCCAAGAACTGTATTAATATTACGAGTGACTTCCGCTGCGTTCTGGCTCAATTTGAATTCATAATTATGGGATAGGCCTCCATGCCCATCAAAAGGAGCAAATCTGGTCCTAGGGACTAAGTGTCGCAGGCAACGCAATAAACACTTGTGGTGTTTTGAGAAAGCGATATTTGCCTGCGACAGCGACCACTTGACTTGCTGCCATAAATGCGGCTACAGGACACGCCTTAACGATAAACGTTTGCAAACAACAATAGGAGCGAAACTAATTAGGAATTAAGCGATATAATAGCGTTACAGGCATATGCAACAAATTTTCAAAATCGATTTTTCCAAGAAAATAAGTAATGTTTCATTGTACATTTTCAATTTCTTTTCGCAGGAAGAATCACCTTCTTTTGCATTGTAAATAAATACTATCTATTACAAAATGTCCTGTACACAACGAGCTCAACAATTTATGATAAACTATTATGGAATAATAATTTATTAATCCCCGTGTTGCTTCTGCATAACTGTACAAATGCGGTTAGAAAGTTTCCTATTTAATGAACGCGAAGCTTAATGCCACTATCATGTCGAGCGACTTAAGTGGGGCAAAATTTCCGATATTCAATTTTGTGTTATTATGCAGGATTAATTTACATCACGTCACAAAAGTATTGGAGCAGCTGTTGTTCATAAGACAAGTGTATTTTTTTGCTTTTTGTTTTTTAAATTATTACGCGATCTTAATTAACGCGGTTTGCAAACAATTTAATCCTTGAGATACAAATAATATTACTGGAAATATATTAATAGTTATATTATACACTTCAGTGTTACGTTTTTATCTGTTACCGACATAATTTTGATTACGGGAGTTTAATCATTTTTAATTAATGCTGGAATAAATAGTTTTGTTTGTGAGCTTAAGATAATTCGTAGCGATCCTCTTCCTTTTTCGAAATTGTGATATGCACTATCGGCCAAAAGTTTGGAATCACCTCCCGCTTTTCATCAATATTAAATCTGCTGCTAATTTTTTATAGATTTGACGTTTATCTCAATTCTACGTTTACCAATTTATCTCGTATCAATTGATTCGAACGATAAAAAATTCTCATAGTCGCTGACTTTTTTCTGGAAATTTTTGTGTAAATTGCAACGCTCAGTGATTCCGAACTTTTGACCGGTAGTGTATACCACTTTAGGAAGTGTTTAAATTAGTATATTGATATTTTTTTTAATTTAATTTTTACGTATTGTCATCTGAAGAAACTGTTGATTGCTCACAGAATTTCAATGATATACACTACTTTATCTACGTCAGTTTTTATAATAATTGCGTATATTACATTTGTAGTTTAGAAAGAATCTTTTAATTACAATCGATTTAATTTTCAGTTCACGTTCATAAGTAAACTAATTACAATTTTTCTTTTAACTTATATACAGGGTGTCCCTTATCTCCTCGAACAAACGGAAATGGGGGGATTCTCAAAGTCGCTGACTTTTTTCTGGAAATTTTTGTGTAAATTGCAACGCTCAGTGATTCCGAACTTTTGGCCGGTAGTGTATACCACTTTAGGAAGTGTTTAAATTAGTATATTGATATTTTTTTTAATTTAATTTTTACGTATTGTCATCTGAAGAAACTGTTGATTGCTCACAGAATTTCAATGATATACACTACTTCATCTACGTCAGTTTTACTTTGCACCGCTGTTTTTATAAGGCTTAGAGAAATGGTTTTTTGCTGTCATTCCGATGTTTGTGTAACAATACATACCTAACGGCGATGCGAAAAATGTGCGGCTGGCAAAGTGTTAAATTAAGAATAATGTGGAATTATTCGTTATATATTATTCGATAACCGAGAAGTCACGCGTACGCGTTTGTTCACGATCGCGCGCGGATGAGAGTCAGCGCTCCCGTGGTTGAGCGCGGGACTCCGATTGACCAGTGTTTTTCGTTAATAATTCAAAAACGAAGCTTCAACCAACATTTTGGTAAAGGAAAAAGTTGTTCAGAGTCACCCCAGCAACCCCCCATTTCCAGGTGTTCCCAGAGTTACGGGACACCCTGTATAATTTAACCGTATAGGTGATCCTATTCTATTCACTTTCCATAACTATGAGACTGTTTTATCTCAGCTCGATCTGTTAGCCTTGGAAATAAGACTAGAAATAAGGTCTGCTTAGGTGATTTATATTATTCCGAAATTATCGAGCTTTTCAAATTTTACATACGAGCTAAAAACTTTCGGCACTATAATTTAGTTTACCTAAATTCCTATCGCACACAGTATGATAAACATTGTGTTGATTGTATTCTGTGACGGTCTGCGTGTAAACACTTTAACGCGGTTGAATCTGTGGATTTCACCCTTTAGAGGCTTACCGATGCAAGTTTTTATGCCGTCGCGCGAATATACCGTTTAGGTGAGAAATTTTTCATATGCCAAAAGACACGATTTAAAAGAGACATTGTTTTAATATCGGATAGAGGTTTGCCGGTTGCTAACTTAAAGTTCTAATTTGTTTCCTCTATACAACTTACGTTCTGAAGCTAGAGGGGTGGCTGACTAATGGTGCAATGGTTTAGGCTTGTTTATCGGGTGAGCAATACGCGGGAAAGTTACAGAAAGCAAGGGGTGAATATTCGGGTGAGCAATACGTGAAAAGTAGTGCAAAACAAGGGGTGACTGAGACTTAAAATTAGGTTGGCTATCAGAATCTCCAATACGGCTAACGATATTTGTAACTGTGTTAATCTTTTAAAAATTAGCTTCTCCGTATTTTTCCTTAACGTTAATACCATGGTATCTTTTCATATTTAGTTATTGTACTTTGCACTAAATAAGTAAATAGAAATCCATGCTATGACAATCAAAATAATACTATAGCTTCTTAAACTAAATGCAGTACTGTCGCATTAGCTGACCGGGATTTTGCCTTGTTAGCTGGTCGTCGCTGTCCCCACTAGTTCTTCGAACTTGCTTCGTGGAGTAAGCTTCCAGTGTTACGAAGCTAAAATAAACAAACTTAACCGATAGTGTCAGGTATCTGTATCTCACCGTACTCAATGGAGAAGAAACATTGAACACACAAAACACCACCTCCCTTCATTGTTGGTCAGATTTGGTCCTGAGCCGCGGTCAGCTAACGCGATAGCACTGTGTAGTAATGTTAATTACCACTTTACCGACCGGTAGCCTATTAATCGGCTTTTTGCCGCCAACGCTTACCGACCGGTAGCCTATTAATCGCTTTTTTACCGCCGAAGATTACCGACCGGTAACCTATTAATCGGTGTAGTAATGTTAATTACCACTTTACCGACCGGTAGCCTATTAATCGGCTTTTTGCCGCCAACTCTTACCGACCGGTAGCCTATTAATCGCTTTTTTACCGCCGAAGCTTACCGACCGGTAGCCTATTAATCACTTTTTTGCCGCCGAAGCTTACCGACCGGTAGCCAAAATCGGTCAAAGTTTGATTTAACATTTCTATAGGCATAAGAAAAAGCGCATATATTCCCGCGCTATAACCTAGAGTCTAAACTAGCCTAGTGTCAGCGATGTATCTGTGGCTGAGTGACCGGTCGGAAGTGCGTAGGATGTTCAACCGCTACCGGTCGGTAAAGCGTTAATAAAAAAAAGTAAAGAATAAAACAAGAAACGATTTTCCTTTATTTTGCAGGAGCTAATAGCGATACTGATATCCGTGGTCATACTAGGGCTGGCATTGTCGGCAGTCTTCACCGTCATGATGTTCTACTTTCAGCGAAAGCCCACGAGACGCCAACGTCAGAGCATCGAGGAGCCGGAAGTTGAAGGTCACGAGGAAGACGAATCGACACTGCTGGATGGCGAGAGTCACGAAACGGAGGAGAAAGAGTAATCGTGATTCCATGACGGGGAAACCGCATTACTCGTAAGACTCGCATATTTTTATAACACGTATAGTACGTCAGTTTATATTTAGGTACCTCGCGCAAAACACCGCTGAACGAACGATCACGGAGATGTTGGAACATCGAGTAATATTTTTCGGATTCGTTTGATCGAGTGCTTGAGGCTCCGTTTGAAGGAATTGACATTCTTTTCGTCGTTCTCGTTTTCGTTATGGTACCCATGGTTACTCGTGAAAAATCGATGAAATTAGAAGTTGGAATTAGTGCAAAACTCGCTAAATACAAACTCTTCCTTTTTACGAGGTCATCAGTAGCATGGTTTTCACTTTTTGATACAAAGAACTGTTACTAATCCGAACTAAACGTTGTTGATGGACTGCATCATGGTTAAAAAAAAAAGTTATCTCTATTGTTTTTCGATCCACTGCGTGGAAAAATTCGGCTCGTTTTTCTGAGTCAGTTTTTGGTTTCATCTGTATGGAGAAAATCGGTCGAGAAACAGCCCGATTTCGAGAATTGAGTGAATAAAAATTTGTTGGCAACAAACACTTTTCTTCGGGCAAACATAGCTAAAATGTGACACGAATACGATTGAAAGGAATAACGTGGCTTTCGAGTGTTTTCATTTCATATCTCGATTCGGTTCGATGAACTTTTACTAAAAATCTTCTGTCAATCATTCTTGTCGTGCTATATCCTTGACAATTGAACGAAATTAATTGATTTTTTGTTTGCCAAAAATAGAATTACTGAGAAATTTGTCTTCTTTAATAATCAATAATATTTATTTTATATTATGAGTATCAACAAATACTTGAGTATCTGTATATGCATTGATATGGTTAATTACTCTTATAAAATTATAACAATAGGAGTTTAACGATGGTAAAATGTTTATGCCTACACGATGAAGTGTTTCGTTCATAAATAGTGATAATTATATTATATTAGCATTCACCGCTTAATTGAACATACTGAAAATGTTCATTCAACTAAAAAGAACACTCGAATTTTTTATTAATTTTTTACAAACTTATACAACTTTACAAATAATTCGCAAAGTAGTAAAATAATGATACTAAAATTACTCGGCCCTTGTCAAATTCACGTTGAATATAAACAATTAGTTATTCTTTTTAGTCACTAAAATTTTATAACCTCGTTGAGAGCCATGTTGAAAATCACGTTGTATTGTAAAAAATCGCATTTCATTCATTACATGGTATTATTCATTTTCATTACAACTTTTATCAACGAACATGTTTTATTATATTGAACGTTTGTTACAACACAGTTGTTGATAGAAACTAGTTTCCAGAAAACATTTAAAGATGCAGATACTGTTTAACGACAAATGAACCTTTAACGGAAGAAAATATATAAAATCAATTTGAGTCCGTGTAAAAAATATCAATGTTATAATTTTTGTACACTTTGATACATTTTATAGAACGAATTAGTCAACATACACTTTTTAATTATCCTTCGTATTATCAAGGATATGAGAGGGTACTTATACGGTGTACGAAATGTACGTTTCTTCAAACGAAAGCATAGCTTTATCTCTGAATAATTTTATTAGAAGAAATTTAAACATCTAACAGCATATATGTATAATTGATGAGTTTTTGAATTAGAGTTTTTGAAAATCTACCCAGACAGTGATTTGGACAGTACGTTACAAAGAGAAGTGTTGAATACTGTCGATTTCGAGTAACACTGAAAAGTGATGGCAGTGGTGAAACAGGAATTTTCGTTAATATCGTCCTTACCCCGATAGTGACTTTTTCAAAAAATTGTCTGTTTCTTCAAATTTTGGATTAGTTTGTTGTCTTGCTGCTCCTTGTGATGATAAGGTTAGTTAGCTTTTGTTACATCAGTTAAAGCCAGATTTCTGCGACGAGGGTCGCCATATCTTTAACGTGGTTGCCCAAGAAGAAGTGTAATTTATGATAGAGATTATTGGAATGGCACTTCGTGCAAGAATTTTTGGAGGAATCTTAATGCAGCAGCGTCAATTTTCGTAATTCTCATTTTAATTAGTAAGTTTTGAGGTGATATTGAATATTTAGATTAGGTTGAACATTTGATTCAAGGTATTCAGTTCTGTTCGAAGCTCGCAATCAGTAAACTTTTTCATTGCTTGAGGTTGGGTTATGGCTGTGCCGTTCAGTCATTGCCCGTACGGGCAGCGTATTAGGCTCCCCCGAGCGTAAACAAATCGGCGGGCAACAAGCCACGCCTTCTCGAGCAAAGTATGTACTGTTCGTTCGAAATAAGAGTAACCTCGCTCTCGGACCGATTCTCGTCCGTTCTGCGCATAGACAGAGAGCGTAGCAGAGGGTAAGACGGAGAGAAACGTAGGCGGTTAAGTGGGGGTTTGGACGTTCTAGCTCTGCCTTAGGCACGTCCCATGCGCGAAGCGAGGTTATTCTTATTTTGAACGAAGAGTAGTAATTATCTCCAGTCTTAATGTGCGTATCCATTTGTTGCATGTCCGCGTATCGTATCAATTTTTACGGACAAGCGTTGCATCGTTGCGTATCAAAATGTAATCACAATTGGATACGCACCGATGCAACGCTTGCTCGTCAAAATTGATACGCAACGGTGATATGCAACAAATGGATACACACCTTTAAGAAGGGTCTATACCAGAGGTCGACAACCTTTTGATTAAAAAGGGCACTTTGAATGGCTGGCTTGTGATAACGGGCACTTTACCTTAATTTTGCTGGAGGGGAAGTTGTGAGCTTAAAGTACATTCTATACGTATTTATTTTAAGTGAATTTATTAATACAAAATTCTACTGGTTCATTTCACGCACAATCATTTTTTGAAACCATTTTGTAAAAATATCTGGCACAGTGGCGGGCACTTGAGTTGCCGACCCCTGGTCTGTACCCTTGCCACAAGCGTCTTTCCTCCACTCTGCTTTAACTCTTTGGGGCATAGTGAGGTAAAAAGTGTCCCACCTTTTTAGTACTTACATATGCACAGTGGGATGTTTCTCATCCCACCTTGAAACATTAAGAAAACAAAACTAATCTAATTTAACCTGCTTTTACAAATTTCATGGTGAGATTATTTATGTCCCACCTAATAATTAATTATCTCAACTTTCTTTTTAAGCTTTAACTGTTTTATGTCGTAATTCATACCTACTTTGTTACATTTTTTTAAAATAAAATTCCTGTGCAACTAGAGTCTGTTTTGTCTTAAAATTCTGTGCTTCAAAGAGTTAATGTATGTGACATCAGTAGCCCGCGACTTCGCCCTCAGCTCTGCCCGCGGGCATCGGCGGGTGCCCTTGCCCGCCTGAAGGCCTGCTGTACGGGTTATGGAGTCGTCGCAGCTTAGGCGTAGGTTGCTGTAGATTCTGAGCATAAGTAATGGGTATGTTTTTGTACGAGTGGTTGGAGAACAGGATTGTCTGAAATGCCTGAGATTTGGTTCCCTTTGATAAAAATATGACAGGAATTGGAAGCAACTGTATGTTTTGGTGCAGTTTCCAGAGGATTGTGTGTTCATTTGACAATGACACAACATTAACGAAGAAGCATTAATTTGGTTAAACATTTGCGCCTTGGGAGAAAATCTTATAAATTGTGTTGCAACTGGAAGAGTAGCTTTGCAATTCTGTCTTTACGAAAATGACTATGCTTTTCTCCTTTTGGAGGGAAAAAGTTTGGTACTAAAAATCAAGGTTTTTTACATTGTTGAATATTATTATGCCTCGAGATTGTTGTGGTTTGTACGAAGGAAGAATTGAATAATTTGATGAATATTTAATATTCTATGTCTTGAGCATAAATATGTGAGGAAGGAGGGGAGTCTGAGATAAGGGTCTTTGTTTTTAGATTGTTGGGTAGGATTTAATGTTGGGTCCTCTTTGGGGAGTTGGGTATTTAAACAATTCTTTAATGGATTATACCTGTTGCCACTGATATGGAGAGTGGCTTTCCTTGAATTATTTAATGAAACAGCTCTTTTTAAAAATTTTTAACGGTATAGTATTCCATCCCTTCCTGATAGATGAAGCTTAGTATTGGTTGAAGTGAAATTTCCATTCTCTTGAATCATTGACTGATTTTTCCAAATTATTCGGCTCTTTTCATACTAAATTATCGTTGCTCAATCGGCAGATGAAGTGGCGTTTTATTATATTCGGTACCTGAAATAAGATCAAATTTAATCAATTCCTATCTCGAATGTGTCATTGCTAATTTCATTGATAACAAACGATCGATATAGTACTTCAGCTAAATTATCTTACTTCTTAGCAATATGTCGATATGAAAATTCATTCTAATATCATTTTATTCGCAAAAAAACATTGTCGTTGCCTTTGTAATACAGAATTTTGAATTCGTCAATTTTCTCTATTCCTAAAATTTAGTTCATGTGTACATGTGGCTGAAACAACGATCTGCTCTCTCTTTTAGAAACATATTTGATTGATTGAAATCCTTCGTGAACAATCATATTGTTCCAGTACCATAGTACATACTCAACACTTTACTGGACTGCAACCTGTTAGACTTAACTTTTTCTAAATTCATTAACCCTTGTACGGATATTGGGTCAATTTTACCCAAAATCAAGTCACAAATACTTTTTCCTTTGTTATTAAATGTATTATTGGGGCTGAAATTTAATTTAATTTGGGCTGAACATTTAGTAAACATTAATAATATTTACAAAAGAGAGAAAAATTTGTGTGAATTTTTTAATAAAAATCAATTATATTTTTCCTGTAACTTCACAAATTCCGTTCAGAAGATTTCTTTCAGTTATATCAATGACAGAGTATTCGTTGACTGTTTTAATAATGAACTGTAAAAATGTGTACTCTTTCTCTCCCAACAAATTTTAATAATCTGTATGTGCTAATAATTGTAGATTTAGGTATCAAATACTTTCGTAACTCTTTGCTATCGGTAAAATTATATACTTCAATGACTTCTTAAGAAGACAGTGTCTGAA